TTTTTTTCCCCCCTCTACTTCAAGGATGCATAACTTGATGAAAGAAAATTTTTTTTTTTTTTGAGATTTATTTTGTGTATCCTTTAAATATAAATAAACACATGATAAAAAAATGGACGGTAAAATTATCAAATGCTTTTTTTTTATCGACTGCCGAAGAACGCTCGAAATTCGAGCCTCTAGAGTAGAAGACCCCCTTAAGGTGCCATAAAAAAATTCAACTGCATAAAGAAACCTAATTTTTTGGTCATAAATCGATTTTACTTGAGTTTGACCTACTTTTTTGTATTTTTCATTCACACAATGTCAAAATACGATCGATCGCGAGATATTTAAAGTCAAAGTTGGCGATTTTGAGGGTCATGTTCCATTTAAAGTATGTAAAATGTCCGGTCTCTCCAACTATTTTTTATTATATTAAAAAATTCTCTCGACAGAATTCCCTGATTTAAAAAAAGTATTGAACCATGCAACTGTATATATCTATATTGTATGTATATATAGATATACAGTGTGTGAAAAGTATTGAAAAAGTATTGAATTACATACTTTTTCAATACTTTTTTTTAATCAGGGTTGGAAAAAAAATTAGGAGAGTGTTGAAAAATGTTTTTACACAGAAAAAAAAGTCATCTTGATTCAAGAAAATCATTTTCTTCAAAATTTACTTCTTGTTTCAAGTTATTCTGCTATCTTAGTTCAAAAAATTTATTCTTGAACTAATAATGTCATATACTTATCCCAAGTAAATCTTTCTCTTGGTATGGAAAGTAGCGTCAACGTTGGCGACGTGATTTTTTGGAAATAAACCGAGATTTTTTTAATAAAGATTTAAATTTAAAAAAATAACCTTATGCATGATTTTTATTTTTTGTGTTCATTTAATTAGACATTTTTGATTAATTTTCAACTTGCTGATTTCCCATTATATTACTGATTTACAGTTAAGTGAGTAGTGACGAAAATATTTGTATATACAAGTATTTGCTCGACTCATACAAAGTACACGGTTAGAAATTTGTTGCGTTAATAACTCAATAACTATAAGTGATATCGACAATCAGAAAAAAGATCCTTAAAGAGGAGGAAATTTCTGAAAAAAAGTCTCGACTCCCGGAACTCTAGCTCCATAAACAATAATTTTTATTTAATGTTGAAAATGGGTTTCCGCGCGGCTGCTGTCCTACTCGGGCCTCGATGCGCCCGTGTGTACATCAAGCAAGTTCAAAAACCAAGAGAATGATTTACTTGGATTAAGAGGTTTTTTTCTTCACTTAAGTTGATAAGCCTGTTGGAACTAGGGAATATTTGTTTAAACCAAGATTGACCAAAACAAGAAAAAAATTTACTTAACTCAAGAATATATTTTATGATTATATATAATCTATATGGGGCATTCCATACCAAATCGGCCACTTTTTTAGGTCAACCTCTCCAATTTTTTTGAAAATTTTATATGTTTTCAATACCGTCGAAGAACACCTTCATGAATTTTTTCAAATTTTTCTGACCACGCGTTTCTGAGATATTGATTTTTTCCAAAATTCAAATTTTTTTTTGAAAGAGCTATAACTTCGCGAAAAATACAGCTATCGGGGTCCCGTTTTTTTTCAAAATTTTTGTTTTTAATGCTTTTTCAAGAAAAAAATACCTCTTTGATCTCCTCTAATTTATTCCGATTTTTTTTAAGTTTTAAGCAAAAAAAACTTTCGAAATGTATGCCCCCTTCGATTTTTTTGAAAAAATTCTCAAAAAAACTTGGACAAATATAGAAAGTTTTTAGACCAATCCGACCGAGGACAGACGTTTCGTTCCATTTTTTTTCTTAACTCAAAAATTTTTTTTTTGAAGTTGCATGTATTTACTTTGACACTCTCATGCATGTGCTCGAATGATTATTTTTTTGTACCAGAGAAACAATTTAATCAATATTTTCATTAATTTAGCATTTATTTATTAATTTAATGAATTGGAGTTTATTCGTAACATCAAAATAATTAGCCTCTTTCAAATTCATCATGAACGTATTAATTTAAGTGTCATCTTTTGACCACGAGATTGACTAGATTTCTTTCTTATGTAAGTGCAATTTTTATGTTGGTTGCATTGGCTTTTATCACGGTATTGTACGCCTCATAGCGCGAAGCGAGTGAGGTTGTGCTTTATACTCGAGTAAAAGCCAATGCAACCAACATAAAAATTGTACTTATAACGTCGAAAAATGCACGGTCCCTTAAGTGACATATAGAGTTTACACTGTATATATAACTCTGAATGATTAGACATGAATCATACCCGAGAAAAAATTTTTCTATATAATCATATATAATTGTATATAATCATATATGATTATATAGGGAATCACATATATAATTATATAAAATTATATATAACCATATATAATTATATATAATTATACATGATTATATATGGAATTGTATATGAGGTCATATATAATCATATATAATTATATATAATCATACATGATTATATATCGAATTGTATATGAGGTTATATATAATCATATATAATTATACATAACTATAAATGGAGCTATACACAGCCATGCAAGATTATATATAATCATACATGATTATAAATGGAACTGTATATGAGGTCATATATAATCATATATAATTATATAGAATTATATATAATCATACATGATTATAAATGGAACTGTATATGAGGTCATATATAATCATATATAATTATATAGAATTATATATAATCATACATGATTATAAATGGAACTGTATATGAGGTCATATATAATCATATATAATTATATAGAATTATATATAATCATACATGATTATAAATGGAACTGTATATGAGGTCATATATAATCATATATAATTATATAGAATTATATATAATCATACATGATTATAAATGGAACTGTATATGAGGTCATATATAATCATATATAATTATATAGAATTATATATAATCATACATGATTATAAATGGAACTGTATATGAGGTCATATATAATCATATATAATTATATAGAATTATATATAATCATACATGATTATAAATGGAACTGTATATGAGGTCATATATAATCATATATAATTATATAGAATTATATATAATCATACATGATTATAAATGGAACTGTATATGAGGTCATATATAATCATATATAATTATATAGAATTATATATAATCATATATAATTACATATAATCATACATGATTATATATGAAATTGTATATGAGGTTATTTATAATCATATATAATTATATATGACTATATATAGAGCAACATACAGCCAAGCAAGATTATATATAATCATACATGATTATAAATGGAA